GCACGGCGGGGCCGGGGAGTGGCGCTGCGACAGTGGCGAGTGCCTCTGGCCTGCAAGAGACAGCGGGGAGGGCAGGTGGGGGGCCAAGATGCGGAGGGAGACGTCAGAAGTGGGACCCACGCGAGCCGCTCTCTTACAGTCCAAGAGGCGAAAGTGGTGTCCGGGACGCATGGCGGCCTCCCCTCTCTCTCCCCTCCTGGACCCCCAGCTCACCGCAGCTCCGGGCCTGCTCCTGTAGCAGGGTCCTTAGGATCCTCCCCTGCAGGGAACTCAGCTCCCGCAAGCGGCCCAGCTCCTCTGTCAGCTCCGTGTAGGCCAGCGCCAGATTCACCCTGAGGTCAGAGGGGGCAGAGCAGGTGGGATAAGGTTCTGCGTCCAGCTGTGGAGGAAGAGCCAGTCCAGCCCTGTATCCCACGTCCCCACCCCAAATGCAGGACTCTTTTTGGCCTTAAGGTCCACCACGCTTGTAATCCCAGCACTCGGGAGGCTGAGGCAGGAAGATCACCACAAGCTCAAGGCCAACCTGGACTACATAGCAAGACCCTGCCTCAGAAATAAGTCCACCTCAAACACCACCTCTTCCAGGCCACCTCCATCCGCTTCCCGAGAACCAATCCCGGGCTGGGGGCAGCGGTTTCCTGCCTAAGGGGCACAATGGGAGTGCAGAGATTCCCGGGGGACCCTGCCTCTCTGCATGCACTGAGTACTGCCTGTGGCTCCTACAGGTGTGTGTTAGCGTCTCCCAAGTCTGTGCGGGGCCTGGGAAGACACAACGAGTTCGTTTGTCCAACAGCGCCTTTGTCACTTCGCGTTTTCTTGGTGCACTCTGAAGACAGGCTCGTGGCTGGCAGAGGTGCCAAGTGATAAGCCTGACCCCACATTGGCCATGCCAGGCCACTGCTCTTGCCTCCACCCCAAGGCTGCCTGTGGCCTCCTTTCCACCTCACACCGCTGCCGTGCAACTCCAGGGAGCAGGATCCCCGGGATCTCTGCGGCTTTGTGCTGCACACCTGCCCACTCGACCTCTCAAAGAAGCCTGCTTCCAGTTCCTCGAGGGCGGGGTTACAGTGCTGTGCTCACGCCCGCACCGCCCAGGGCCTGGCACCCAGGCGATGGTCAGTAAGTGGGCCACAAGCTGGGCCTCTGCGCCTGTCCATTCGCTTCCTCCCTCACTCCCAGCTCAGGCCTCCCAGGCTCCCACCTCACAGGGCCGGAAGGGTGTGGCTTCAGCAAGGGACTTTACAGCACCCTCTCTCCCCGGGGGGACTCCGAGTCCAGAGCCAGGAGCCGCTTACTCCAGCATGACTCGCGGCTCCCCTGGGAGCCTCCGCCGTGTCCTTAGGCCCTGCCACCTTCACCTCTGTGCTGGGCGTGGACAGAGAAGGCAGGGGTTCCAGTTTCCTTGGCTCTCCTTAACACCCGAATGGAGTCTGGAACTTTGGAAGTTGGAGATGCCGGGCAAGCAGATGTCACCCCAGGTAGACTGCCTTCCATGGGCTTCCCCTTCCGCCGCAGGACAGAGTACCACCAAAGTTCTCCAGCCCCGAAGACACTGTCCCCGTCCTACAGCTAAGGATGCGCGGGGGTGCGGGAGGGGAGGAGAGTGTGTGTGCACGAGCGTGTGTGTATGAGCGTGACCCTGCAGGGGAGGAGGGGAGCAGTAAGGCCAGGGCTTCGAGGCCGGAGAAGCTGGGAGGAATGGGCAGTGACAACTGTGCTTCTTTGCCCTGGCCCCTGGCTGCCACCCTTACCAACCCTGAGGCAGTGCCAGGGGCAGGGCAGAAGCGCCGCCTGCACATGCACGCTCGCAGGGGCCTGGGGGACAAGCCTGCCTCTCGGGGCAGGGGGCCCTCATAGGAGCCCGGATGGCCGGAGCCTGTGTTTGCTAACTGTCCTGTGCACCCTTACCCTCAGGGGCCTGGGGGGCCTCCCACAAGACTGAGAGATCCAGGTATGTATGTCCCACATCGAACTGGGGGCTCCCCAGGAAAGCCTCCCCTTCACACGGAGGGCGGCCTGAGGGTGGGACCTGCGGGGCTTCCAGAAGGGAGGGTCAGGCTGCCCGTTCAGCTGTGGGGACGGACGGAGAGGGACTCTGGGCAGGGCACCCACGGAGTGTCATCCTCCCTCCGCCCGCCCAGCCACAGCTGCTGCCATCCAGCTTCGAGGCTGTATCTCAGGTGACAGATACAGGTCGGCGCCTTCACACCCTGTCTCAAGCTCTCACCTGCCAGCCGGGGTTTGCAGGCCCCAGCTCCCCCGGCTTGCTCCCCGTCAGGAGCCGCCCCACTTTCTCCCTGCCCGACTCCTCACCGTAAAACACGCAGACTTCTGAGACCCAGCTCAGGGTGCAGAGACCTGACCTCCTCCTGACACCCGTGTAGTCCCGGGGGCCGGCTCCCTCCTCAAGGAGGACACACATGACTCACTGAAGACACTGCCAATTCAGTGGAAAAAAGTCAACTTCACAACACACGTGCACACGTGCAGCTCAACACACCCCACTTCCTGGCCTCCGCCCGAGCTCTGGCGGCTTTTTCCGCCGTCTGGACTCTAGGAAGAGCAGGTCCGGGGAGCTGCAGGTGCCCCACTGGTGCTCCTGGGCATCTTGGGGCAAGTTCTAAGTCCCGCAAAGCCTGGGAGGGACCCAGGGCCAGCGGAACTGCAGACGACCTGCGTGAGTGCAACCCTGCAACACTGTCACGATCCCCATCTCAGTCTTACAGATGAGAAACTGAGGCACACCGGCCAAATTGCTCGACCAAAGTCCTAAAGCCCAGAGGGCCCGAGCTCGAAATGCACTCCCAAGAGGCGATGAGCAGGAGGAAGAGGAGGTGGCGGCTGGGGGCCTCCGAAGCGGCCCTGAGAACTGCTGGCCCTGCCTGGGAAGGGGGAGGTGCCAGACTGCACTGTATGGACCTGGACACCGGAGCCGCTGAGAGTGGGCGCACGGTGAGGGCACAGTGGTGGCACAGAGCAGGGTTCGAGCTCTTGGTACCTCAGCCTGAGAGGCTGGCGCCTTCGGGGGAGCCGGGGTGCGGCCAGAGTATGGCAGACCTGGCAGGAAGACAGTGTCCTCAGCTGCTAGTCCCCCTCCCTGCGCGGCCCTGCCCCTTCATCCATTCTTTCCATGGCTAACAGGCACCTCCCGAACCCCCCAGAACAACACCCTTTGCCATTATTGATAAAGCACTGAGGTCGGGAGGTTAGAGAATGTGGCAGGGCCGGAGTTCAGGGTCAGACCTCGAGATGCACACAGGTCAAGAGGAGAAGCAGGCCACGCTGAGACAAGGCGTGGGGCTGACGGTTCACTGGCGGCCGGAGGCGGTGGACAGAGGCAGGGCCAGGTTTCGGGACAGGGACGGGCGAGCATCAGGGTCCGGCCCGGGGTGAGGACTCCAGCGGGCCAGGTGCTCAGAAGCATGGTTTGATTCAGAGCTGGGCGCGGAAGAGGATCCGGCATTCCCATCTTTGCCCGCAGCTGCCCCAGCCGCCTCACCCCACAGGGGAACTTGGGGGCCGAACTTTCCACCACCCACAGGCACACCCACCACCAGCCTTCCCGCCCGCCCGACCCTCAGGGAGGGGACCACAGGCACCGGGCCGTGGAGGGACTTGAGGTTGCGGGTGCAGGAGGAGGAAGTCGCTGCAACAAGCCAGTGCGTCCCCACTTCCTTTGTGCCTTGAGCCCTCTGCTCCCCTCCGTCAGCTAAGCCTCGAGCACCCCTGAGCTGGCTCCTCCTGCCAGCCCTGCCAGGCCTGCAGCGCAGCCAGGCGCCCACGGGTCCCCGAAGCCTCCCAGCGCTCTCAGTGGGGCGTGGGAACCAGGCCCCCATCACCCAGGGCTGTCTGCGCTCATGCTGGTCAGGTGCCCGGTGTAATTAGTAACAGCGCCCTTTCACTTTCACAGTGATCAGCTCGGTCCACAAATCCCAGGGCCGTCCCTCACAGAACAGCCGCCCACCTGCAGGAGAACCTGGCCCGGAAAGCACCACCAAGTCCCCTCGGCCCGCCTGCTTGGACCCTTTGGCGTAGAGAATCCCAGGAGACCGGAGGAATGGTGTGGAGAGGAAGAAGTTTGTTTGGAGACTTTGGAGACACCAGCTTCAGATCTGGCTTAAGAAGGAGGGGAGGGCCGCACACAGAGGCGCATTCTTGTCATCCCGGCACTAGGGAGGCTGAGGCAGGAGGACGGCCATGGGTTGGAGGCCAGCCTCACATAGTTCAAGGGCAGCCTGAACTACATAGCGAGACCCTGTCTCAAAAAAACAAAGAGGAGGAGGGGAGATGGACACATTTCCCATCATGGAGATGACCCGGCAAGGGCTGCTGTCAGCGTGGCTGGCAGACACAGCAGGGAAGACTTTCAGAGCCCCCAGTCCCACAGACCGGCTCAGAGGCCTGAGCCCTGCGCTGGAAGTGCTCAGGGGTTAATTCCTGTGTGCACAGGGCGCTGGGCTGAAGGAGACAGCAGAAAGGAAGTAGGGAGGGTGAGAAGCGTGGAGGGGGAGGCCCTGGGCCCGCTGGTTCTGGGGCATGGGGCTAGGCTTGGGGTACGCAGGGGTCTCCAACTTCCGTCCTGACCCAGCTCACACTGCCCTTGACCTCGGAGCACAGTTTCCATCCTCTCTCTCCGAGTTCACACTTCTGCCCCACCGCTAACCGCAGCCCACGCAGAGGCTTGTGGGCGGGGGGCGGGGGCGGGGGGCGGCGGAAAGGGCCAGGCCGCAGCGCCTAGCCCCCCGTGCGAGGGAGAGGGCCTGCGGTGCACCGTTCCACCCTCCTCACTGCACTCGGGGCCCTGGCTTCTCAGCGGGGGCTCCCCAAGCAGCACCCCCCAAGGCCCCCAGGCCTTGCCCCCTCAAATAGCGCCCCTCAGCCTCCCGCCTCGCCTGGGGGACCCTTCTGGGATCCTCACTTCGGGGCGGGCGGGCTCCGCCCCACCCCCCTCAGCACTGTCCTCGGCCACTGAGTGACCCTCAGCCGAGGGACACCGGCAGCCAGGGACCAAAACCTGGGCCGAGCACGGACGGCACCAGGAGCGGGGTCCAGAGGGGCTCAGCCCAGGGGATTAAAGGACTCCCCAAATCAACCTGGCCACCCCAAGATCCCAGCTGAGGCCGGCAGGTGGCCCCTTTCAGGGCCCAAAAGACCCCCCACACGCAAAGGCTGCACTCAGCACGGGTCCGGCTCGGCTTCTCCCACACCCACACTGCACTCCTGGAAGCCCCACCAGCCTGGGGCCAGCAGCTGTGGAAGGCACAGGCAGGCGGGTGGGACAGGGGCCGGGAGCACCCACCCGCGACTGAGGCCCCCCGGGGTGGGAGGACAAGAGGGAGCCCGCGGGAAGGGCCTGTTACCAAGACAAGCTGAGTTTATAAGAAAATAAAACTACGGGGGAGGGAGGACTTCCTGACAGCTCCTCACAGCACGGTGCCCCAGCCGCTGCCATCGCCACCGGCACCTTCCAGCCTGGGAAAAGGGAGGCGCGGCCTCAGGAGGACCCCAGGGGCCGGGCGGTGCTGCCGGGCGGGCGGGAGGGACAGGCTGCTTGGAAAGAGTGAGCCGCAGGGACGAGGCCCAGCACACACAGCCTCGGGGGGACGGCCCAGTCCCCGTCACTCCGGCCTGAGCTGGCATTCAGATGTGCGCCCCGGGTCTGAACACAAGGGCCAGGGCGGGCCCTCTGCAAAGGCCACAGTGGCCTCGGCAGCCTGGCAGCGGGGTCCCACCCACCGGTCCCACGAACTGAGCTCTCACCCAGCTGTCACAGCTCCACCCAGGCCCTCAGCCCACGGTGGGGAGCGAGGTAAGAGGGACCCCATCGGCCAGAAGCTGGAGAAGGATGGGGATTCCGCCTGCCGGGAAGGAGGGCCCTGGGGTCCCGGCGGGGTGTGCCTGGGATGCAGGGCGAGTCTCCCTGCAGTGAACACAGCCACCCGGGCCGCGTGTGCCACTCGCCTCCTCACAGAGCAAGGACTTAGGCGGAAGGAGGTTTGAGCTACTTCTCAGAAAGTGGGAGAGGATGAGTTCAGGTGCAGGGCCCCGCGGTCCCCTCCCGCCCCCTCCTGCAGCCCCTCTTGTCTGCAGGGTCTCCAGGCACGGCCTGGTCCCCACGCCACTGCCATGTGACCCCAAGGAAGCCCCTCCTGCCTCCAGGCCTCAGGAGGTGACAGACAAGGCACAGCCAATCCTTAACGAGGAGGGGATAGTAAGCCCAGCTGTCTGGGCCTTGCTCCCAGCATAGAAAATGGAGCCCCAGAGAGGCCCCCAAAGTCACCAAAGAACACAGACTATAGCAATACTGAGTAAACTTCGCAACACCTCAAGAAGAGATGGCCTCGATCCCAGAGGAAGGCAAAGGCAGCATCTCAGAACTCTCCTCCTTCCTGGGTCAGACACAGAGCCATGAGCCATTGGGACACCACCCCCGAGGCCTGGGAAGAGAGGTCACGCAAATAACACAGACTGCTGGCCACAGTGGCACACACCTATAATCCCAGCTCTTGGGAGGCTGAGGCAGGAGGATCACCCCAAGTTCAAGGCCAGCCTAGACTGCATAGCAAGAACTGTCCCAAAAAACAAAACCAAGCCGGACGTAGTGGTGCACACCTATAATCCCAGCACTCAGAGGCTGGGGTAGGAGGATCGTTGTGAGTTCAAAACCAGCCTGGTCTACAAAGTGAGCTCAAGGCCAGCCTGAACTGCATAGTGAGACCTTGTCTCAAAAAGACAAAAAAAACCCATTCCAAATCAAAACCAAATAATGCAGAGATACAAAAGTGAATTTAGCCAGGTGTGGTGGCGCATGCCTGTAATCCCAGCACTTGGGAGGCTGAGGTAGGAGGATTGTTGTGAGTTTGAGGTCAACCTGGGCTACAAAGTGAGCTCAAGGCCTGCCTGAACTACACAGTGAGACCTCTCAAAAAGGCAAAAAAAAAAAAAAAAGTGAACCTAATGGGGACACAACCCGCTGCCCCAGGTTAAGAAGTTAAGAGAGGGCCAGGCATGATGGCACATACCTGTCATCCTAGCACTCAGGAGGCTGAGGCAGGAGGATCATAGCAAGTACCAGGCCAGCCTGGGCTACGTAATGAGTTCAAGATCAGCCTGAACCACACAGGGAGACCCTATCTTGAAACACAACAAAACAACCCCAAAACAAAAGAAACAAACGAGATTAAGAGGGCGAAGGTTACTGGTGTGACTTACTGATCGTCGCCAACTCTCTTCACCCACGCCATGTCCCGCTCTGATTGGTTGGAGGCCAGGTCCTAAGGGGGGGGGACGCAGAGGTGAGTCCTCCCCGCCTCACGGCCATACCCTGGACTGTGAGGACTGCCCGCGCCCGCCGGTACCTGTGCGCGCGTCTCCTGCAGCTGCTTCAGCTCCCCCTGCAGCCGCTCGCACTCGGCCTGCAGCTGCTCCTCGCGGAGCTGAGCCCCCCGCGCCTCGCCCTGGGCCGCCTCCAGCGCCTCCTCCAGCCGCCGCCGCTCCAGCTCGCTCACACTCGGGGCGGGGCCCGGCCAGGCTGCTGTTGGACCGGACAACATGAGGCCCGTGTCGCTGCTTCCCGGACACATAAGTGGGGCAGGTGGGGACCACAGCCCGGGGGACCGAGGAGCAGGACGGGCTGCCTGCGGGAGGCCGAGGTACAACTGCCACGCTGCAGTAAGGCATCCTGGGCCACTCAGCCTGAAGCATCCTCGGCCTCTCCTAACCACACCCGGCACAGGCAGGGCACGCTGGGTGGGGGCGCCCTCTGCTGGCACACCTGGGAACTGCATCGGACGGGCCAGACACTCGCCGGGAAGCACCAGGAGATGGGGCATATTAGGGAAAGTGGTTAAGGTTTGGGAACAGGGATCGGGCGATTCCGGGAGGCATTTAAGATATTAGGACGGGGCTTCAGGTAAGCAAGAGGTGTCCAGTGGTGGTGCAATAGGGGTGAGGCTTGGGGACTCGACATCAGGGAGAGGGAGGTCGCTGAGATCTCACCGTGACCCACAGCGGAGCCCCCGCTCAGGGCCAGGTAGTGCAGGTCCAGGTCGGTGCAGGATGGGGCGGGGGCCGGCGGGGGGCTCAGGCTGGGGAAGGCTGTGTCCCGGAGGCCTTGCTGCTGCCGCAGCTGCTGCTCCAAGCCACAGATCTGCCGCAGGTGCGTCTCCACCAGGGCCCGCTGCAGGAGGCGCAGAGCTGAGTCTGCACAGGCCTGGGCGCCCGGCAGGCTCCTAGACCCAGGACTACCCACGTTTGTACAGTCGTCACCTCCAGGGGGGCAGAGGCCACCTGTTCACACGCCCGGTGCTCCTGCACCTAGCAGCCCTGGGTGCAAGGCCTCCTCTCCCAGGAACTGCAATGCAGATGTTATTGAAGCAAAGCGCTTCTACAGGAAGGCCCCATTACCCACTCAGCAGCTCAGCCGGGTTGTTTGATTTCCTCAGCTTTTCAGAGGTGGGATGGGCGCTAAGTGACTTGACCAGGGTCACAGCTAGGAGTTGGCAGAGACCGTGTCTCCTGATCCTGACACCTGTCCACATGTTCCCACGCATAGCTACACGAGGACCCAATTCACGGGCCTGCCAACACCCACCCCACTGCGGCGGGTTGTGCCAGCAAGACCAACACTCACTCACAGGGACCCTGGTGCGCTCGGTCACCCGCTGCCAGACTGACACATAAAGCCTCAACTCTAAGACCAAGCAAGCTGGGCATGGTGGCGCACGCCTGTAATCCCAGCACTCGAGAGGCTGAGGCAGGAGGATCATTTTGAGTTCGAGACCAGCCTGGGCTACAAAGTGAGCTCAAAGCCAGCATGAACTGCACAGTGAGACCTTGTCTCAAAAAGACAAAAAACAAAAACAAAACCCCAAGACCAAGTGGACACTCACGGGGACACACACACATGAGCAGGGTGCTCACAGCAAGTGGGATGTGACACATGAGGTCCCCGAGGTCTCAAGGCTGGAATGCTGACACTCGGAACTACACAGATGTGGGACACCAAGGAGCCCCGGCAGCACCCTGACCTCCTGTCCTCACCATCTCCGCCAGCTCCGTCTCCAGGTCGCTCTTCTCCACGCAGAGTTTCTCGTAAGCCTGGATCATCTCCCCTAGCTGTTCCTCCTGCTCCTTGTTCTTCTGCAGCTGTGTAGGCCGAGCGAGGCAAGCCAGAGTCAGACACTCCCTCTCCCTGGCCTGGCCGCCCCTCTCCCAGCACCCTGCAGAGGGGTGGCAGGAGCTGGACTACAGCCCCCTCAGATCTGAGAGGCGCTGTGTAGAGGCTGGAGGGTGCAAGCAGGACATCAGGGACAGCCTGCAGCAGGGAGTTGGGCGCCAGGAGCCAGGCTCACCTCGTGCTGGAACTGGTTGAGTCTCTGCTGCAGGCTGACCTTCTCCACCTCCAGCAGGGAGCCATCCTTGATTTCATACAGGGAGAAGCTGTGCTCCTCTCCGAAGTCACTGATCAGTGGGTACTGCGGGAGGGGACGGAAGAAGGGCGGGTCCTCAGGAAGGCTGGAGCCAGCGCCCCACCCATGTCCGCCCCCCAATTCCCAGGCTCTCCCTCCGCCCTCCGGTGGAGCCCACAGCCCCAAAGCCCATTCCTCCTGAGGGGCTGCTGGGCTGATTTTGCCTCCAGAGCAGCTGCCCCAGCCCCTCTCCTGGACCCCAGGATCTCTGCTGGAACCCCAGTCCCTGCCACCCCACCCCCCACTCGCACCTCCACACACCACTCCCCACACCCAGCCCGTCCTGACCTTGATCTCGTAGACTTTGAGCCTGCGGCGGAGGGTAGCATTCTCCCTCTCCAGGCCCCCCAGCCGTTCCTTGATGTCCCCGTAAGCCGTGATGAGGGCAAAGTGGGAGGCCGAGCACATGTCCCCTCCCAGCGAGGGATCCCCGGGGCCATCCAGCCACACCTCACTGGGCCCCAGGGCCTCCTGGGTCAGGATGCTGATGTCATCCTCAAACATGGACTCCATGGTGAGGGCCTCAGCCCCCCGTGAGCCTCCTGGAGAGCAGGAACAACGTGGAGAGGGACACCTGGGCCTTGTCCCCAGGCCCCTCATGCTGGCCGCCCGCAGGGGCACCCTGAGACAAAGCCTGGGTGGAAGCTTCCTGCCCGCAGCGCAGCGGGGGCTCCCGCAGCCCCTCTCAGACCGCCAAGCCCACTCTCCGGGGCGGAAGAGGCAGGACTCGGGGAGCTGGGGCACAGTTGACAAACAGGGACGAGGAAGCCCAGCCAGCAGCACGCAAGGGAGACCTGTGGACTGACAGGACAGCGGCCTTCCGCCCTCCTCTTTCCCCTCCCTAAGTTCTCAGCCACTGGGCGCCCCATCCCGGGCCTCTGGCAGCCCAGCTCCTCCCCAAGGAAGGCCCAGGGCTCCGGGAGCTCGCCCCTGCCCAGCCCTTCCTCTCGCAGGATCCCAGAGTTCAGGAAAGGGAAGTGCCTCCCCCTGCACCGGGGCTGCGGCCACCGTCCAGGCGCGGCCCCTGACCTGGGACCTGCAGGAAGTCCTTGGCGCAGTGTCAAACTAGTCCCCAGCCTGTCCCTGTGTGGCGGCGTGCGAGGCGCCCTGCGAGGGGGCAGGGATGACTCAGGGCTCCCGAAAGAGAGTAGGCGGCGAGGGGGTGCGTGTGTACTCCCGGGCCCTGTTTATGAATGTGTGTCTGAGCTGGCGTGGGGGAGTGTGTCTCAATGAGTGGAGGTGTGTCACCGTCAATGAGCGCCTTCGCGGGGCGCGGCTGGGGGTCGGCACGGAGTTGGGAAGCGGCCGGGAGGCTGAGTGTGCGCGCGTGTGAGCACGCGTGCGTGAGCTGTGGAGCGGGTGGGCACGCTCGGGCCGCGTGTCACGTGAGGCACTATGGGAATGTCCGAGGTGTGTGCGCGCGCCGAGAGTGCGTGCCAGGGCGAGGGGCTCGGCGGCGGGGCGCCCGGGCTCGGCACAGGCCCCG